CAGTCACAAAGGGACAAATACTGCATGATGCCACTGTTGTTGAATGGGTCTGACATCAGGGTGGGGGTATGACAGAAAAAACTGGATAAATTATTTATATTGAATTGAAGCAGATGAGGGAAAGGACAGATTAGAAGTGATATATGATTGAGTATTATGGTTAGCACAGGAATCCAGAATTAAGGTTGCATGGAGAAGTGTACTCGGGGTGGGGGGGGTGGGGGGAAGGGATGTATACTAATGAAGGAATTTTTTTCCCCCTCTCTTCGGAGAGGGAAGCGAGCTGGTGGGGAGGGGTGGGCAGGGAGAAAATTGCGGCAATGAATGAATGGAAATCCAAAACTTCTGCAAAAAAAAAATTTTAAAAAAACCACAACAAAACAACAAAACTATCTAATGGCCTCCGATAATGGTAACTTGTAGCACTGGCACAGAAAGGGCTCGCCATACTGTGCTCCCTGCCTGCCTCTTAGCTTCGGATGCTGCTTCTTGCTACCACAACTCCAGCTGTGGATTATCCCCAGGTCTCGAAGCCTTCTGGTCTAGGCTCACATTCTTTTACAAAAGTCCTGTCCCCATAAAATAATCAATTCTTCAAAACTCAGCTTATCAAGCCTAACAATTATAGTTACTGAATCCTTTCCTTTCTCTCCCAAAAAGAGTAACTACGTTCCTTTTTATTTTTTTTGTTTTGATTTATTCCACTACATATTACATTGAGCACTCCTACCCCAGTACCCCCTGCATCATGATGTACTTAGGTTATATATAGCTACATTCTGCTCTTACACATATAAGTGGAAGGGCAGTGTCCAGAGCTGGTTCAGCTGTAGCTCAACACTAAGATCAGAGTCTGGAACATGGTAGGCACTCAGGATATATTTGCTAAATGGATAATCACTTGTTCCACTACAGGCTCTCATCACCTTCTCTGGGATTCCCCAGTCACCCATGGACCCTGTCAAGCCCCAGATGAATGTGACTCTTACATCACAAGCTAAAAAGGTAATCAATGAGCTGATCATGTTTGTCACAGATTAAACTGTGTCCACCCAAAATATGTGTATATAATGTAGAGGTTTTATAACAGCCTCTCAAGATCTGATAAACCAACCAGTGGTTAGAGAATTAAGGGTGAGATGTAACACCGGGATGTAAGGGGAGTTTCCCTGTAGCATGACTGGCATTACCTTTTGTCTTAGGAGAGATAAAAGAAGAGAGAAGTGAGCAGAAAGGGGGGCCCTCAGTACCACTAAGAAAGAATCACCAGGAGGAATGGAGTGTCTCTGTGCTGGGAAGCTCCTGAATTCGGGAAGAAGAAAATATGCAGAGTTGTCCAAGGAAACATGGATCTTCCTCTAGAACAAATAAAGGGAAGAGGACTTCCCCTACGACTGGCACACTGAATTTGGACTTCCTCCTCCAAACAGAGAATAAAATTCTGACTGTGAAAGCCGTCTATTTGTGGTATCCCTGATAAAGCAGCACTAGATAACAAAGACAAGGTTCTTCAAAATGAAAATTATGTCAAAGGGACAGACTGGAGGAATCAGTAGAAGTAGAGAATGCAAGAATTCAGACTCCCAAACTAACACTTTCATAATAACTTTCTAGTTAACAAGTTATTTACATAAAATTGATCAAAACACTTTTAGGTAGTTTTTGGCAGAATCAACTTGCCAAGTGCTGGCTCCTTGCCACCCTTGCACACCGCTGGGCCCAAGAGAGAGCCAGAGACTTAAGGAACAAAGGCTGCTATTGTTACAGGTGGGGTGGGGGAGAGGGGAGGGCAGGATAAGAAATTCAAGTGGACAAACAGGAATTTAAACTTATAGATAAAAACTTCCCCATAAATCTAAACATTCCTGTTCTTGCTGAAAACTACACTCATTTGGCAAGATCTGTGTAGATAAATAGGACTTTTGTTTTAGGAATGGTGTAGAAATAAGCAGTTCACAAGGTCAATGGGCTGTCTAGGCCGAGCAAACAGAGACTATACCACCTGTGCGGAGTATTGGCCTGTCTGTATACAGATGCAGGGTGTGCTTGAGAAAGGGCTGTGTGCACATTATCTACAATACCTACTAGTGCTAGCAATTTTATAATGTTGTTGTTGTTGTTATGTGCCGTCATAGCTTGCGACTCATAGCGACCCTATGTACAACATTTCATATTCATAAAAACTATCTTACTGCTTTAAAGTCTTCTGTGTGAGAATGGATAAATAGAATAGTTATGAATGTTTGCATGGGAGGTGAGTTTTTCTCTCTCACTTGTTTGTCCCGGAACCTGGCTTGGAGATTGGCCTCTGTCCTAACCACTGGGCTGCCTGAGCAGAGGAGCCTCTGGGACTCTGTTCAACTATAACTGGAGCTCTGCTGTCCCTTAAAACGCCCTCAAATAATCAAGTCCAGTTTCTCAAGTAGAGGTGCCTTAGAATGCTATCCAGGACCTGTTTTCTGCTATCTAGGCCACTTTCTGCTGTCCCTTCCTACTCCCTTAGAGCAGTGGTTTTCAAACTTTATTCCAAGAAAGCCTGGACTTTCCTTAGAGCAGTGGTTTTCAAATTTACTCCAAGAAAGCCTGGATTTCCTGAAAATGCTTGCTTTAAATTCAGTGGATTCCCAGGTTGATGAACGACTATAAATTCCATCCTCAGCCCTTGCTCTCAAAGGGTTTTGCTTATCAATAACACAGTTTCATGGTCCTTAAAAACTAGTTGTCATAGATCAAAACAGACATTTTTGACCTGTTATAATGATTATGAATAATAACTTTAAAATATATTAAGAAAAATATTTAGGGCTTATAAGAAAAATACATTGCAACCTATTTCCTCACTTTCCTAACCCCTGACATGGAGCTGTCTTCATGCCTTCCCCGTGTGATCATGATAATTTTACCATTATTGTTACTGTCTACCCTTTGCCTTTCACCATTAGAGTGTAAACTCCATGAGTGTGAGGATCTTTTGTCTGTTTTTTTTTAATTGATGTATTCGAAGCACTAGGACCCAGGAGGTAGGCACTTGATAAATACTGACTGGCAGATTTCCTTTCAATTTTTCCAATTGGATGTACAATGGAATGCTAAGAATCCTCCAGAGTTGCCATTTAATGTGGAGTGTCTCTTAAAGCAAGATGGGTGACCAGTGGATCTACTGAGGCCATACTGTCATCACATGTGCTCAAACCCATCTGGCCTGACCCGGAAATACAACATCAAGATGAGCCCCCATGTTTCTGTCAACTGGCAAAGCATATAGGTTTCATCAAGTTGACTCAATGAACCATTTTGAATGTATTAGCCAAAACATCTATTTAACAAAAGAAACAATGCTAACTCTTTGTACACAAAATTTTTAATTTCAATTAAAGAAAAAAATCCGCAAATGTGTCAGAGGAACGGTTTAAGAATGATCACCTTCCTCTTGGCTGAAAGGATAGCACTACTTTCTGGTTTTGTGGGTGGCAAGCCCCACCAAACTCTTAACATTTTCAGAAATATACCTGAGTACTTGTCGTGGTCACACTCATGGCAAGACATTTCTCCTTTGTTTGAGTACGTGTTCACTGGGCAGAGTTTGCAGGAAGAGGAGCCCTGAGAGGCCGCGTAGGTGCCGGGTTTGCAGGGGAAGCATTCTGAAGTGTAGGCCACTCCTAGTGGAGAAGAACAGATGGGGAAGCAAGGCCTGGGCCTCGAGGCGGACTCACCTTGGGACTGGCTCCCCATCAGCGCTCAATGTCAAGGGAATGGAAGTCAGCCGTACACCCGAGATGAGTGGCCTCTCTCTGTACCTGTTATGGCGATGTTTCTCACCAGCACAGGCTTGGGTGTCTTTGACCATACTGAGAAAGCTGTGGTTCTCCAATACAGGACGTTGTTGCCGCGATTTAGCTCCATCTAAAATGCACACACAGCAGCAAACAACAAATGCTGGTGAGGTTGTGGAGAGATTGGAAACTTTATTCACTGCTGGTGGGACTGTAGAAGTGTGAAACCAATGGAAATAGCAATCCCATTGAACCCAGTAATTTTACTACTGGGAATATACTATAAAGAAACATGACTCAAATAGATGTATGCACACTCATGTTTATAGCAAAGAGTTGGAAGCAATACATCATCAGTGCCCATCTCCAAAAGAATGGATTGAAAATCTATGGTACACTCATGCAATGGAATACTATGTAGCACTGAAAAACTATGAACTTCTAAAACATTACACAATGGGGGGCAGGGGGGGTGTAGCCTAGAAGAAATTATGATGGGGGAAATACCTCAGTCACATAAGGACAAATACTGCATAACACCACTATGCTAAAGCAAGACTGACATGGGGGGTTAGAGGGAGAATAGGAAAAGAGTGGATAGATAATGAACACAGCATTGGAACAGATGAGGGGAGTAACTATTTAAAAGGAATATATGTTAGGTATTATATGTATGAGAACAGTCTGGAATAAGAGGTGCCTGGCAAAGTGGACTGGAGGAGAGGGGAGGATGGAGGAAAGAGTGCAACAATGAAAGAATTTTTTTTTTAAAGAAAGTGAACTAGGTGTAGGAAAGGGATGAGGTAAAAACATTTGCAACAGTGAAATGAATGAAAATAAACTTTTCCATAAAAATTTCCATTAAAATCACAATAAAATAAGGAAGACTAAAATGCACACACACGACGAGTTAGCGTTGTAGCAGAGACAGTTATCCCTGACCCAATGGAGCAGCAGCTTCTCATCAGGATCCCTTCTCTTAAAGCCTGTGCCACAGGGTCTATCCTGAACCTCCCTCTCAAGCCCTCAGTTTGGCCTTTCTCGCATCTCATTCTCCCTCTGTCCTTCTAAGCCTCCTCTATGACCCTCTCACGTCCCTGCCATTACTCCTTTAGCCATATGTACCAACAGTATCTCTAATGGCAAGACCAGAGAGGGCCTCAGGGTGCCAACGACGACATAACTGACATCTCTTCACTCCTCTCTCTGGTCCTGGTCACCCATCTTCCATGTCCAAAACACTTGGTCCTTAAAGCTAGGAAGTTCTTAATTCTGGGGGTCATATTATAGGAGCAGCAAATCAGCTTACATCCCATACTCCAGAACCTCAAAGAGTCCATGGCATCCTCTTCAAGTCACAGCCCATACGTACTCCAGGGCCAGAGGGGTGGAAGCCCAGACAAGGGGGGAGCATTCTGTGGAGCAAATCCCTTCACCCTTTTCTGGAGTTCCCAGGAAGGAGAAGTCATGATACTCACACTGTGGATTTCCCATCCTTTGTCTGTGGTCTTGATCCACCTGGAGTCGTCCACACTGGGCTGGCACTGGTCATTCTGCACCTGGGGCAGCAGGAGGTTAGGATCAGTCCCAGCTTTCTGAGGACAGGAGTTCCTCACTCCACACAGCTCCAACTCCCCAGAGGACCCTTCTGGTGGTCCATGGGGGTCAAGTCACAGGAGCAATAACCCATACTCCACCGCTTGAGAGAAACCACAGCATTTCCTTTATTTACAGAGTCCCTTAAAGGACCAAACTTGGAATCCCTTAGCCAGTTTTTACAAATAACAAAATGTTTGTGCACAGACACACACACACACACACACACACACACACAATCACTTGTAACCAGAAGTTTACATGCTACTTTCATGTCTGAGCAGAACAAACATTTAGAAAGGTTTGGCTCTCCTCTTCTTCCTCAGAGCCCTTCAACAGCTACCTCTTCTCTTTTCCTCCTGAAGCCCCAGCTAACCTGCAGGGAAACCTCTGTGCAGTTTCCCCAGCAGAACTGTACATCTGACTTCTGAAGATGAGTCTGAGCCTCTGAGAGTGTGAGCACTTCACCCTCCCCCTCAGATCGGAGCTTACAAAGAACTCGAAGATGATGCTGCTGTCTGGATAGTAGTACTCAAAGGTGACCGTGCCCGACTGCTTCAGGCTGACAGCATACATCAGGGTGGCCGTGCACTCGTCCGTATTGGAGGCGATGTAGTCACCCCGAGGGACCCATTTGGACCTGTGAGGGAACAGGATTTGGGTGGAAGGGGTCGAGGGCAGGAGCACAGCCCACCCAGCTGGCACAAAATAATGCTTTCAGGTTCTGCTCAGCCCCGTGTCCCTGGGAGAGTTCCAGATGTGTGATTCACATGCCAAAACTGGGGAAAATGATCATAAAAGAAGTTCAAGGGCAGATTAAGACTCCCAGGATGCAGCTGATAAGAGGAATAAAGGCTTCCCCCCTCACCCCCCCCCATTCTGCACAACTACCCAGAAACAAATGGCATGTCATGGCATGTCAGGTGGATGTGGGTAACATTTATTGATTGCTTTCTATCAAGTATTGGACTGATTGTTTGACACTTCTTAACTTCTTCCCTCCCCATTTATTCAGTGAGGAGACACCAGGCTGGGGGTTACCTTGCCCAGTATCATGCAGCTCGAAGATGGGAGAGCTGGGATTCAAACCCACGCCTGCCCCGCTTAAAAGCTTTCTCAAAACGTCCTCAAAATCGGTAGGCATAGCTCTTCTTTAGTACTTGGATGTCCAGTCTAAGGCAGTCTATTTACCAGAAATGACTGCTTTAAGATGCTATAGGTAACTGCTTTGGTGGAAAAGGAGAAATCAAGAGAACTGCAGACATAATCAGACCAGCCACAGCTATTTTACCTCCTAATATTTTTCAAATAGGACTCCCTGCCGAAGTTGCCCAAGCACTCAGCTCATAATCATCCCTATGAATATCCTCCTAGTTCATCTCCCCGCACCCATGCTCTCTCCTGTCCTTTCTACACATCATGATCAGAGAGGTCCACCAAAACTGAATCTGACCTCACCAAACCCCACTATCAAACCACTGACCCCCATTGCTCTTAAGAGTCCAAATGCCTTGCCTACTCTCTCTGCTTCAATCACATAGCATGTCGTTTAATCGCCCTGCCAACAGAATGTGGACATTATTAAATAATATCATTACTATCACATTCAAGCAAAATATTGCTGAAATCATCCAGCAATGGCTTGAACAATGGACAGAGAAATGTCAGAAGTTGAAGGTGGATTTAGAAGAGGCTGTGATACCAAGGATATAAATGCCAATGTCAGATGGATCTTGACTGAAAACAAAGAATACCAGAAGAATGTCTCTCTGTACTTTAATGACTATGCAAAGGCATTTGACTGTGTGGATACTATGAAACAATGACTAACATTGAGAAGAATGAGAATTTTAGAACACTTAATTATGCTTATATGAAATCTATACCTAGACCAAGAAGTTGTCAGAACAGAGCAAGGGAACCCTGCGTGGTTTAGAGAAAGGTGTGCTTTAGGGCTGTACCCTTCTCGATATTTCTTCAATCTCTATGTGGAGCAAATAATTTGAAAAGTGGGACTTTATGAAGAAGAATGGGATATTATGACTGGAAGAAGAATCATCAACAATCTGATTTATGCAGATGACACAACCTTGCTTGTTGAAACTGAGGAGAACTTGAGGTGTTTGCTGTAGAAGATCAAGGACTATAGCCTTCAATATGGAATAGATTTCAACACCAGAAAACAGAACTCTTCACCACTGGGCCAATGGCAATATCATGAAAAATGGAGAATAGACTGAAGTTGTCAATTACTTCATCTTACTTGGATCCACAATCAACACTATTTGTACCAGTAGTCAGGCGATCAGGAGACATACTGAAGTGAGAAAGTCTGTAGTCAGCAACCTCTCCAAAATACTGAAGATCACTGATGTCAGTTTGAAGACTAATATGTGCCTGATTCAAGTCATGGCCTTTACAATCACCAGCTAGGCATCTGAGAGCTGGACAATGACCCAAGGATGACAGGAGAATAATCAATGAGTACTGAATATCTCACAGATTATCAAAAGAATAAACACCCATGTCTTGGGAAAAGGGTATTCCTTACAGGTATGGATGGCGAAGCTTCATCTCACATACTTTGGGCATGTTATTAGTCGTGGGCATTCCTTGGAAAGGGATCTCATGATTGGAAAGGTGGAAGGTCAGCAAAAGAGAGGAAGACCCTCAACCAGATGGTTTGACACAGTGACTGAGGCAATGGACCCAAGTGTGTTGGCAATCATAAAGAGGGTAGAGGATAAGACGGGGTTCAGATCTGTTGTTTATAGGGTTGATTATGAATCATATTTGACTTGATAGCACCTAACAAGTACAACAACAGAAATTTCTACCATCTTTGTTTATGTATTACTTGCTGATGGACATCTACATATTTTTTGATTGTTTACCTTTACGTACGCTCCACTATACACACTCTTACTCCTATCTCTTTGTGTACCTTTCTGAGTAGGAGGCCTGGGAGCAGAAGTGAGCTGGGTGAGAGGGAATGTGAACCTCCATCTGAACCAGCTATTGCCACTGTGGTCTCAAATTTAGCCCCCACCAGCAGCACCAGAGAGTTCCTGGTGCTTCACATCCCCCCCAAACTTGGAACCATCAGATTCTAATGCTGTTGCCAATCTGATGTGGTATGAGGTCATGTCTCGTTGTACTTTTAGTTTTATTTCCCTGATGCTAAGATTAAATATCCCTTCTTCATTTATTTGCAATTTTGGTTTCCTCTTCTGATAATAATTTAACTCTTACTTAAGTATCTGTCTTCTGGCTGACCTAAGGAGGCTGGGAAGGTTGAGGCTGCAGTTAGCTTGTTCATACAGTAGAGGCAGATAAAGGACTCAAGGAGGATTTCCTAGAGGAGGTAACATTTATCCTAAGGCAAGAGTAAGAATTAAACAGAAGAAAGAAATGTGTCCCTGGAAGAGTAAACAGTACATGGGAAGGCCCAGGGTGAGAGAGGAAGTTGGACAGAGGGATTGTATGTATCCCCAGGACTAAACACACGGCTGGCACACAGTACTCTGGATTATGTAGATGAGTGTCAAAGTGGGGATCAAATAACAATCCCACTATTTCACTGTTTTGCCTGAGACTAGTCCAGGTCTCCAATTACTTAGTAATAACCACCGAAGGGAACCTGAAATTAGTCCACATGTTTCTCCCATGTTGGCCAGAATAACACGGTACTTCCAGCTCTTCAACACCGAAAAACCAACACAACTGCCACTGAGTCAATTCTCACTCACAATGACCCTATGATAGGGCAGAAGGAAACTGAGCCCTGAAAAGAGTCCAAATACTTCTCCCTGTATTTGCCAGAAAAGTAAGATATTTGTTATTGTTGACTGCTATTGAGTCGAGCACGACTCATAGTGACCCTATGAACAAAAGGCCTCAAGCCTGTCTATAACTAGTGACATTTATCAAAGTTCATAGAGTTTCTGGAGGCATGTGGTTTAGAAGTGGGTGCCACTCCTGCTTCCAAATTATGATATTTACAGCTAGCTCTTCAATTAAAAATGAAACAAAACAAGTAACACCACAAAAACCCCAACCCAACTGATATTAAGCCAATCTGAACAAAAAGTGACTCCAGGACAGACTAGAACTGCGCCGTGGGGTCTCTCTGTGGAGGGAGCACTGGTGGGCTGCTCTACGAGGCTGAGTGTCTTTGGCAGTTTGCATTCACCAGTGAGTGGCGCGAAGGGAGAAAGATGGGTGATTTCCTCCCGTTACAATTTATGGCCTTGGAAAGCTGATGAAGGGTCAATCCCTATAAGGTGGTTCTGACTAGGAGTCAGGAACAAGATGACCATAAGTTGGGTTTTGAATGACTCTTTATGGAAGTAGATGATTATAATATTTTTCCTTCAGAATAGCTGGTAAATTTGAACTGCTAACTTTATGGCTAGTATCTCAATGCTGAATCTACTCCTCAACAGATGCTATTCTCATAAATGGGGACATAGCAAAAATACCTAAGCTGAACTCTCCAAAATACCCTGGCTAGCCTAAATAGCATTGATTTCTCCTTGTTGAAGTAGATGACACTTAATGCTGATGTGCTACACAGAATCAGCTATAAATAACTCCTTACATTTGATGAATTATTAAAAGGATGCCAGAAGTGACTTACATTTGCAACCACAGCTCTGGTGGGGGGGTTTTTTGGTGTTTTTTTTGTTTGTTTTTTTCTTGAGTTGTCCTTAATGAAGTTGTCCTTGATGAAGATTACCTTAAACTCAATAATAACCATGTATTGTATCCAATCCATTCCTAGTGTGAACACGGTTTTAATTCTTTACAAGTGATACCTCATTTAGGTCTCTTGGTGGCACAAATGGCTACCAGTCTGACTACTAGGCAAAAGGCTGGTGGTTTAAGTCCATCCAGAGGTGCATCAGAAGGAAGGCCGGGCACCACACCTCCAAAAACCAGCCACTGAGAGCCTTCTGGACACAGTTGTACTGAGCAAACATGAGGCTGCTGTGAGTCAGAACTGACTTGATAGCAGCCAGCAACAACCCCCACCTCATTTAATCCTCATTTCAAACCATGAGAGACTGTTCTCCTTATCTTCCAGTCTAGGATGAAGAAACTGAGGCACAGAAGCAGTTAGCAAACTTGTGCAAGGCCATTTAGCTGTGAAAGACCTATACTCACGTCACTTCACCATGATTCTTGCATAACTGGCCATGTAGGTACTGTGACTCCTAGCCCTGTTCACTCTGTATGACACTGTGCCTCAAGTTCATGAGAAAAAGAAGAAACAGTACAGACAAACTCAAATGTTTCCAATGTTTGAGATGTCTCTCATTTTTAGAGTAGTAAAAGAAGAAAGTGTTTATCAATTAAGCCATTTTTACATGTATAATTCAATGACATTAATTATGTTCTCCATGTGTGTAATTGTGTCTGAACAGAGCAAGAAAACACTGCATGATTAAAGAAAGGTGTATGTCAGGGCTGTATCTCTCCTCCTTACCTATTCAACCTGTATGCTAAGCAAATCAGTAAAGAAGCTGGACTTTATGAAGAAAGTAGCATCAGGGTTGGAGAAAGACTCATCAACAACTTGCATTATGCAGATGGCACAACTTTGCTTGCTGAAATAAGGACTTGAAAGGCTGCAAAAGATCAAAGTCTACAGCCTTCCATATGGAATACATCCCAAAATCAAGAAGACAAAAATCCTCACCATTGGACTGATAGGCAACATCATGATAGATGGAGAAAAGATCAAAATTGTCAATGATTTAATCTTTTTGGATCCACAGTCAGCATCCTTAGTAACAGCAGCCAAGAAATCAAAAAATATATTCCATTGAGAAAACCTGCTATCAGGGATCTCACCAAAGTACAGAGGAACAATGATGTCAGTTTAGAGACCCATATCATGGTCTTTTTAATCTCTTTTTATGCATTTGAGATGGACAATGAATAAGGATTACAGAGGAGAAATCAATGCCTTTGAGATGTAGTATTGGGGAAGAGTTCTGAATATCTCACGGACTGCCAAAAGAACTAACTGATGTGTCTTGGAGAAAGTACAGCCAGAGTACAGCTCTGGAGAACGACTCTGAAAGTACATCTCCTTGGAGGCAAGAATGACAAAGCTTTATCTCACATACCAGGGGCATGTTGTTAGGAGAGGCTATTCCATGGAGAAGGACATCATGCTTGGATAGGTGGGAAGGTCAGCATAGTAGAGGATGACCTTCAATGAGATGGATTGACACAGTGACCATGGCAATGGGCTCTAGTATGTCAGAGATGATGAGGATGGCACAGGAAAGGACAAGATTTATACCTCCTATGCACAGGGTCGCTATGAGTTGTACTTGGCTCAATAATACCTACAAATAACATCAACAACAGACTGCCAGCATTCCTGAAGCAGTAAGTCCTGCCCTCATTCATTGTAGCAATTGCTAACAAATGTTGGTGTGTATGGGCCTCAGGAAAGGTCACTAGAAAAGGACATCAGGCAGAAATGAAGGAAATTCTCAGTGAGAGAGATTGACACATTAGCCACAAAAGAGAAATTAAGTATATCCGTCATCATTTCTGTTGTACAATAAAGTTGTCATGATTTGGAACCAATTCCATGGCAATGCAGCTAACTAACTATATATATATATATGTATATGTGGAGCTCTGGTGGCCTAGTGGCAAGAAGCTGTGTGCAATCCCAAAAGCACGTGGTTCAATGCCACCAGATGCTCCACGGGAGAAGGATATGCAATTTCCTCCTGTGTGATTAACTACTTCTGAAAACTCACTGGAGGGTCAGCTATGGATCATTTCTGACTCTATGGTACACAACAGCTGTGTGTATCTAGCTATATTTGCTTATTTCAGGTCGCTTTAATGTTTATGTTGTTCTTTCATTCTCACTTTCATGTTTATACAGTATTCTGTTACACAGATTCTGGTGTTGCTTTTTCCACTAATATACATCTTCTCTGTAATGGTCTCTCCTCCCATTCCCTCTGGATTATCTCAATCTCTTGTTTCCAGCACCTTCACCCTGATACTTCTGCCTACTAAGACTTTGAGCCATGCATGATCCCCTAGAAGCTCAGGATTCCACCTTGTAGGCTGATCTGTTTTGTTCTCAATTATTTTTTTTCCTGTCCACTTTGTGTTGGGCACTCAGGAGAAGTGGCAATGGACAATACAGACCTCACCCTTTCTCTTTTGGAGCTTGAATTTTGTTTCTACCTGGGAACAAAGAAACCTCACAACTGCTAACACAAGTAACCATCTAATAATAATTAAAAAACGAAGCCCACTGTCATGAGTCAATTTTGACTCATTGCAACCCTACAGGATAGGGAAGAACTGCTCCAAAGGGTTTCCAAGGCCGCGTGTCTTTACAGAAGCAGGCTGCCACATCTCTGTCCTGTGGAATGGGTGCTGGGGTTGAGCCATGGAGCCATGGCTTTCCACTCAGCAGGCGAGTATTTAACCAATGTGTCAATAGGGATCCTTTATTGTTAACTGTAATAAGGGACATGACTATAGAAAGGGACATAAAAGGGAGACATAAGATGATACAAGAACGTGTAATTGGAATCTGCAGGCTAAAGAAGCAGTAATGCTTGGGATGAGAGTTGAGGAATGAGTGAAAATGAATAAAATGAAAATGGGAAAAGAAGAATAAAAGAAGAGTGTGTTCAGTGACCCCGAGGAGTGGGAGAGTACGGTGGTCAATGCAGCTGGAACACAATAAACAAATGGGATAACAATTGTTGTTAGGTGCCATCGAGTTGAGTACAACTCATAGCAACCCTGTGAACAACAGATCTGAACCCTGTTCTATCCTGTGCCATCCTCACCCTCTTTGACACACTTGAGCCCACAGCTGCAGTCACTGTGTCAGTCCGCCTGATTGAGGGGCATCCTCTTTTTTGCTGTCCCTCAACCTTCCCAAGCACGATGCACTTCTCAAAAGAAAAACCTCTTGCAACATGTCTAAAGTATGTGAGACCAAGTTTTATCATCTTTGCCTCCAAGAGCCTCTGGCTGCACCTTCTCCAAGACGTAGCTAACTGTTCTTTTGGCAATCCACAGAACATTCAGTACTCTTCTCTAACACCACAGCTCAAAGGCATCAGTTCCCCTGTCATTCTTATTCATTGTCTTACTCTCAGATCCATAGCAAGTGATTGAAAAGACCATAATCTGAATCAGGCATACCTTAATCCTCAAGCAGACTTCCCCAGTGCAATACGACTCCTGATTTCATGACTGTTGAGAAGGAATTTGAAAAGACTGGAGAAATGGACAGAGGATAGAGAACAGGTGGAAGAATCTTACAGTCCATGGGAAAAGCACTGTATTGTAAAAGAACAATAGGAATCAATGACATTTCATGGAAGGTACTGTGATTGGAAATGCACTTTCCATCTAGCTGTTGAATGGACAGTGGCCTGGAGGTGGCTGGGAGTGAATGCCGCGACAAGGCAGAAGATTCTGTGGCAGAACAGTCTGGGGGTGACAATGACTTGAGTCAGATCGAAGGCAGTAAGGGTGGACTCAAGTAAACAGACAGTTTAACAGAAAAGGCAGATGTTTGAGTTCTTGTCACCAACTCAGTTATTTTCTGAGGAATGACAGGGAAACCACAAAACCTCTCCAGGTGGAGAAGCATCCTTTCCTGCCCTCCCAGAGATGTCTTGGGATCCAACACTCCTTGAGCTCAGAACCTGAAATACTGTGTCCCATCTTGGAAGGACATTTGCCTCCCTGAGATGTGTTATTAAGGGGCCCACAGGCGTCCTGGTAGGAAGATAATGATATTTGGACTCTAAGTGAAAACCCGAGGGAAATGATTTCTTTGTACAGGAGGAAATGATGGAAGAAGCTGGGCTCACAGCTCCTCCAAAGCCAATCACATTCTCTATTAGGACTTTGGTGGGGGCTGGCTGTCTTCACCCACAATTTCCTTCTCCTTTCAGCTCTAATTTCTTCCCATTTTATCTCTGTCTTCAAGACTAAGCCTGACCTTGTCGTGCTAATAATGATTGCAACACATAAAATTGACTCTAAAATAACATTAAAATGGAACTATTAAATGCCTGCTGCTTGACTCAGACAATTGCACATCTAGACTTGAGTATAGGAATGGGAGAAGCCAATGCTCCTTTTAGGAATCCAAGTGTAATACAATTATGAAGTCTTTTTCAGGCATTTGAGTGCTCAGAATGAGAAGAACTTTCATTTACTTTCCTCCGTCATTCACAGTCAATATTTAATGAAGAGCAAAATATGACTGCCTTTTACATCTTTCTACCCTTCGCCTGTATTCCCCAGCTCTCAACATTGCCTTGCACTTAACAAAAGCCATTTGAAGGTGGCAGGAAGCAAGGGGCAGTAGAAAATATGGGGCAGGGTTTGAATTCAATCTCACCAGCTACAAGTTAGGTAACAGAGGGCAAGTCACAACCTCTCTGAGCCTCCACGTCCTCATCTGTGTAATGAGGAACAACAACTTTTATTTCACAGAGTTCTTGTGAATGGGATTGTGGGAGACACTGAACAGAAAGTCTCCAGCCTAGTGCCCGGCACATGGAAAACCAGTTGCTGTTGAGCTGATTTTGACTCATGGAGACCCCATATGTGTCAGAATAGAACTGCTTCGTAGGGTTTTCAATGGACTTTGGAAATGAATTGCCAGCCCTTTCTTCCAAAAGACCTCTGGTGGGATCACCCTGCAGTCTTTTGGTTAGCAACCAAGCGTGCTAACTGTCTGCACCACCAGGGACTTAAAAACCCCATAGCATTTAATTCCTGTCACTGGATTTAAATATGCAATGAGGTGATTGAGCTAGGGTCCCAGTTCTCCAAGCTGAGTTGTTCAATTGCTGGCAGAGATCTTCTGAGCAGACAAGTTTCCTTCTCTCAGGGTCTCTGGGCCAGGCCGCTCTTAACTGTTAGCTCTTTGGTCTGTTCTCATCCCACCACCCACCCTCCTAAACCCATGAACTCAAGTTTGGAAGAGCCAGTTTTAGAAGGTACTATTGAAGTCAGGGAAATACCCAGCTTTTTCCATAAGGCAGTGGATCTGAAATTCTGTAATAGGACCCCTGTGCTTGTACTTCTCAAAAGCGCCTGTCAGTCTCTGGTGAGCTCCATCAGTGAGGGGGGTGGGCAGTGGTGGAGGTCTGAGTGAGCAGCCCGGACCTTTTCCAGTCTTCACTGTAGTGAAGCTCAAAGCTTTCCCTCTCCCCCTCCTCCTGCCCAACTCTGGGTGCTGTGCAGTGGAGGAACTGTCCGAGCCCACCCCCCCACCCCCCGCAGCCCCTTCCTGGGTCGGAGGGAGGACTCACGAGGTGCAGTTCTCTATGGACTCGGTGATGCCGACTTCCATCTCCAAGTTGGTGGCGAGATTGGCGAAGCCATGTGGCAGCTCATCCCACTCGTCGAAGCGGATGCCAGTGCCCAGGGAGTAGCGGCCCTCGGCACAGGGCTTACACGACTGGTCCTTCATATCCAGATACTCCCCGGCGCTGCAAGAGAAGGCTGGCAAAGAGTGGGGACAGAGAGCGGCTGTGAGAACGCCCGAGCCCCAGAAGAGGAAGGGCGCTGGGATCCTAACAGGGGAAACTTCAGACTGGGATCTAGTGGGCTGATTAAGATTTACGTTCAGAATAAGAGCTGCAGAGTAAAGTGGACTGGGGGAGGGAGGCTGTACAACAATGAAAGAATTTTTTTCTTTCCAAAGAGAAAAGCAAATGGGGAGAGTGTGTGTGTGTGTGTGTGTGTGTGTGTGTGTGTGTGTGTGTGTGTGGTGGGGGGTTGGGGGGTGTAGGGAGAAAAATGTGCAACAGTGAATGAATGGAAATTCAAGTTCTCTATAAACTTTCATTAAAATCTCAATCAATCAATAAATAAATGGAATAGAATAAAAAATGTAAAAGATAAAAAGTTGATAATAAAGATAGCAATTTGAAAATATGTATTATATAAACCAAAAAAATTTAAAATATCCTATAGTATGGTAAAATGAATCATCTTGATGCTCCAGGATCTATGAAGACACTAATGAAAACGTTAATTAAAAAAAAGGGCTGTGGTGTAAAGTGTATGATTCTATTTCCACAAAATATCCAGAATAAGCAAATCCACAGAGATAGCAAAGACATTTGAAGATGCTGGAGGCTGGAGGCAGGAAGGGTGGGGAGAGATGGCTAATGGCTGCAAACTTGCTTTCTGGGCTGATGTTCTGAAATTTGGCAGTGATGATGGCTGCGCAATTCTGTGAACAGACTAAAACCCACTGAATTGTACACATTAAAATGATACATTTTATGGTATGTGAGTTAAATCTCAAGAGAGCTGTACTAAAAAGAGAACTAAGATTCAGGGACTTGCTGGAGGACTTTGGTTTGCCTCTGATGGTCCACTCTCCCAGGCAGAGGCTCCGGGTCAAGAAGGCAGGGTCTGCTGTGTGGACCCTCGGAACTGTGCACAGCCTGGAATGTTCTTCCGTCCCTCCAGCATCTGTCTTCTCCTTTCTGGTTTCACTGCCATGATAATCTCAATGCTATTTGATATCATCCTGACTTGATAATTCAGCCACCATTATAAATGTCTTTGTTATATTTTTAAATGTCCTTTTTACTAGTTCCTTGTTTTGATTCATTCTGTGATCAGAACTACCTTTATAAAACACTGGCCCGATGTTATATCTTTCTTCCTTTAAAAAAAATAATAATCAATTCTATCCCTTTGGTGAGAGAATTAAGTTCTCACCCTAGCATCCAAAATCTCTTACAATTTGCTCCCAACTCAACTTCCTGGCTCCATCTACCACCGCAGATCTTTCCCCACCCCAGACTACAGGCTCTTCCCTGAATGTGTCCTACATTTCCACGTCCAAGTGGTTCTCCCAGGAGTTCTGGGTCCATAAGCACCCACCATCCCCTTTTTTTGTCACACCATATTATCACACTGTATTGCTATCTGCCTCCCCCGAGGCTGAGAACTCCTCCAGGGACAGCTGGTTCCATGACTGGCACAGGCAGACGTAGCAGGAGCTCCATTAAAACTTGCTGGAAAAATGAATGGGTGAGTGAGTGTTCATTCCCGCTTCCAGCTTCTGCAGGCCAAGGCTGCCTTTGATTCATCTCTGTGGGCCGCACAGCATGTGCACTGCTCAGTGCTTTCAGAGCAGGAGTCCAGGAAAGTTGAAAGAATTCACAGAAGACAGATCTGTCGGTTTTCCACTGTGGCAATATCCATTTATCCTTTTATCAAGTATTGATTAGCTCACCAACTAAATCAGGCACTTTGCTAAGCCCATTTTAGAGTTCAGGGGCCCTCGAGTTCCTTTTCAAATCTTCCTTGATTCTAGTCCTTGATTTTCATTGTTATTTCCCATGCATTCATAAGAGAACAGCACAGGAACAATCCTTTCGATTGCAGAGGTGTGACTACAGCAACCCAGAGGTGAGGATGGGAGCTTCAGCCCAGCTGCTCACTGCCTTCCTAATCATACAGTCAGATCCACCAGTCAGGGAAGACTTTTGTTCTCTGAACTGACGCCTAGTGCATTTTAAAGGTCTATAGCTTCCGAAATTACTCTTTTCTGGCTTCTTTTTCAAGATCTAAAATGTATCACAATTGTCCCTAATGACGGATTGTGATTAGGGAGCATATATTGGATGGAAATGCACAGACAGAAAAGAAAGTAAATGCAAACAGAAGAAAGATCTGTGTGGCACACAGCTGGAGTTGCTTATGTTTAGCCTCTGACGTGAATTTTTAATTTTTTTTAAAAAAAGCTAATTCAGTGCTCAGTGTGTATCCATGAAATAAAATTTCTTCATCAAAATTTCAAGAGTGGAGGGTAGAGGCTGCCTGAAGGGAAGATCTTATTCTCTACAACACAGTCAGGAAGGGGCTGGTCTGGGGTAGAGGCCAAGGCCGAGGGGCAGGACGGCCCCACAGAGTGAAGGCTGCTTACAGCACTCGGTGCCCTTGACGGGGTCGGGGAGGCTGGTACACAGGCCCGGGGTGTGCGGCACCGCAACCCTCCATCTGGAACCCGTGCTGTCACACGCCGTGTACTCATAGTGGTACTCAGACTGCAAGGGAAACAACAGTGGGTGAATGTGCATTAGTACTGGCTGTGCGTTGACACCTTCCCTCCTACTTCCTGCCCAGCGCAATGGTTCTGACCCTCATCATCACAGTAATGGGGCCTGAGGTCCCTGTCAGGGAGCAAGGCAACCTGGCAGCAAAGTGGTTGTTAAGAAGCATATACAGTGATTATAATCATTTGGACTATTCCTCCCATAACCCATGTTCTAATCCTGTGAGATTAGAGTTGGCTTGGATGCCTGACAACCCCATGTGTAACACATCAGAATGCACCATGGGGCTTCCTGGCTGGCATCTTGAACAAAGACAATCATCAGGCCTTTCTTCTCAGTGCCACCAACTACATTCAGTGGAGTGCAAACCATTTGCATCACCAAGGGACCTGACCTAGTTCCTTGAAATCCATTTTCTTTTTCTTAAAGAAAATTTTTATTTTATACTGGTTTGCTTACAAAGTTCCTATACATTGTTTTGCACACCGAATCTTTCCTTTTATCTTTCCCTCTACCCATCAAATTGTGCAGCCCTGTGTCTACCTCCCCTGCCCGTCCTCACACCTCTGCTCCCACCCTCCCCACCTTGGATCCTTCGAAACCTACTGCCTATGTGACTCTCCTCTGCTGTTGTGTCTAAATGAAATCCTGATGGGTCAGAGGGAGGCAGAAAGGTAACTAAAGAACAGGCGGAGTTTCCACTCTAGAGTTGATGAGCAAGGATGTCCTAAATGTAAGACCTGGCCAATGAAAAACGATAAAGCCTTGTCACAGAAACTTCCATTTCCCTGTTCCTCATGCTCCCTTCTGCCTAGAGCGAGCACGAATTTCTGCCTTGTGTTTGAGAAAATTGTCATATTTAGCTCAGGAAGGTGATGTCCCTTCATTATGTAAGCCTCTTCATGCCTATTTCTCTGAGTGTTGTCCAGGCAACTTAAAGGCCAGTGGATCTAATCCACTGTTCTGAAGAAGAAGAGAGATGGGCAGCCTCCTTCCGTAAAGATTTACAGTCGCAGGAACCCACTGGAGGGCTGGTGAGAGATGAAATCAGCTCAACGGCTGTGGGCTGGGTGGGATTTGGGGTTTACTCTAGTAATGAAGTCTGGGTACAGTAGAGTTAGCAAGCTTGTCTAGTAACTGATAGAGTGGAAGTTCAAACCCACCTAGAGGCAGAGGCAGCATGGAACAAAGACCTGCTTTTCTTAGAAAACAAAAACCCCACAGTCACTGAGATCCCTATAGAGAGTGGTTCTCCTCCAACAGACATTGGATCCAACCTGATAATACATCAGGGCCAAAAGGAGAGAGAAACCCTCGGGGCAGTTATAAACAGATTACATTTCATCTATTCTAAAATACACATCTTAAAAATACTTTAATACATATGACATCAAGATATGCCTTACATTGGCACAATAAGGGAGCACTATGTTTATTTTTTAAATTTTTTTACTAAGTTTATTTTTGTTTATGAGTGTACTGTCAAATAGAATCCAACTGGTACAGGAGGAGATTGCCCCTCCTTCTGGTGGATTCAAACAGCCCACCTTTGGGATTGCAGCGCAGCTTCTTGCCACTAGGCCACCAGAGAGGAAGCACATGTTTAATGGATAGAATGTTTTCTTTCTTAGTAGTACATAAAAATGATGTGTCTGGATCAATGCATCTCAGATGTGCTGAAACATGGTAAACATGGTATCTCCTGATCTGTGGTTTCAGAAACCCTTATGTAAGGAGAATGCTTATAAAAGAGCAATTCTAAAGCTTTGTTTTCTACTCTCATAGATATATATAAAATATAAATTCTGTGCCCAGAGCTTAGAAGTGTTGTGTTCGGCAGAAACCCAGTCCCTATCCAGAGCGAGAAGATGCAGGAAAATAAGGAAAAGTTCAGGGACTTGTGAGCTGAACCTTTTTTTAAAAAATAAATAAAATTAGGAGTACACAGGATCAAATGAGAGGAGTGGGAAGGGGGGACAGGAGCTTAATCATAGGGTCATACAATTTGATGGGTGGAGGGAGGGATGGGGAAAGGAAAGGGGAAAGATCTGGTGTGAAAAACAAAACAAGGTATACAATTGTATGAACTTTGTAAGTAAGCCAGCATAAAATTAAAATAAATACATTTTAAAAAATAAATAAAAAATTTATTTTATATCAGTTTACTTACAAAGTTCATAAAGTCCCTCTACCCATCAAATATGCAACTCTGGGATTAGCCACCCTCACTTCCCTCCCACCCATCCTCAGCCCTCTGCTCCCCCCTTTTTTAATCTTCACACACATTCTACAATAATGGTCTTATACAGTATATGTCCTTAGGGAACTGAGTTAGTTCGCTTAGCATAATGCTCTCCAGTCCCTCTCAAGTTAGGTAGTGATTTATAAAATAATTTCTTCTGCATGCTGTGTAGCATTCCATCATGTGAATGGACCTATGTCTCTGATTTCAGATGTCAGTGTCATCTAGAAAGGAGTCCCTGGGTGAAGCAAGCAGTTAACGTGTTCAGCTGCTAATTGAGGTTGGAGGTTTGAGTTCATTTAGGAGCCTTAGAAGAAAGAACTGGCAATACGTTCCTATGAAATCAGTCATAGGAAACCCATCGGAGCACAGCTCTGTACTGACACACAGGGAACTCATGCATCAGAATCCACTCAAGGCAACTGGACTGATCAGTGAAGAGAGAAATATCAGGATGACAGTCTCTGTGCCTGGGCACCACCTACTGTCTCCCTGGATCTATTTTCCCCACCATAATTTGAGTCTTTATCCCAGAGGATATAGATATATATATATAAAATTTCAGGTCTAAAAATGATACTCCCAAAAGGGTTTTGCTGCAAAAAGGAGGGGGTAAAAAAAAATCCACAGTATGTAAATTAAGAGAAGAATTGCATGAACAAGGCAGAAAGGATTCAATGTTCTGTCTGTAAGCATAATTATGCCAGTCATTTGCATACGGCTTTTACATCATCTCCTTTGGTCTTCACAACTCCCCACGAGACACGCAGAGCAGCAATTTTCCCTTTTATTGTACAGATGAGAAAATTGACTCTCAACAGGGTGAATGGCCATGCAGCTGTTAAGTCACTGAGCAAGGACCCACGCCTTCTCCCCAGATGTCCTTTTCTATTGCCAATACTTCCCACCAAACATGCAGCCTCAAACTGGGCCAGATCTGACAGCCAAATCTGAAAATTAAACATGACAGCACTGGTTGTCTGCCAGCAGACAGGCTTACTTCTGAGGCTTGGGACTTGATGTTAAAATATCTAATCTGTTCGATCAGATGATTTCTGTTCTTTCTAACTATATCTGGCCTTTTGGACGCACATGGAACAAGACCACTGCTTTTTATCTTCTCTCTTTCTCTCTTTTGTTGTCCCCTGGGTGAGAGGTCTGCTGAGAAAACAGTGGTTACAAGTCTCAAAAGAGTTCCCTTTGACTATGTGCTAATTTACTTCATGTCATCTGGGGACATTTCTTCATGTCAGCATGCAAGGTGGCTGGCTCCGTGCAGCTGTTTCCAATGTGAGCTATCCTTTGAGATCTCATCAATCAAGACCTAAGCCTAGAGAGACACCTAAATCAGGAATCTATAACTGGCAGGACTATTGAGCTGTATTTAGTGTTTCAGAGACAGAGATCAATTTTCCAGCAGTATCTCAATTGAAGGCAACACTCTCGTCTTTGAAAGTGTATAGTTTGCATGATATACAGATTTGCAAAGGTGACATACAAAAACACTTAGTATCTATGTCCAGCACACAATTCTTCCCTCCCCTATGCACAATTATAACATATTCACATCACAGTTATAAATGTGAACACATCAGAGAAAGAAAAGTTTTTTTAAAAAAAGGGAGAAAGAATGTCATTAATTCACCCTCCCCTCCGGAGTCCTAGTGGTGCAGTGGTTAAATGCTTAACTGCTATAGGTCATGCTCTGAACCCACCAGCCTCTCTGTGTGAGAAAATATAGAAACTGCCTCTGCATGACCTGCAGTCTTGGACTATTGGCTATTCTGCTGTTTTGCAGAGACAGGTATCAATTCAACTACAGTGGGATAAAATCCTCCACTCCCATTGTCTAGGAGCAAATGAAAAAAATCCTGAAACTGTAATCTGCTTTGTCTAATAGTGTACTATTTGTTGATAAGACTAATCTTTCAATTCTGGAAGTAGGAGGATTCACTCTGATTCCCAATATCTCCAGTCTCTGTCATATAAGTATTGAGAGAATCCTGGTGGCTCAGTAGAGTCAAGGTTGGTGGTTCAAACCTACCAGCCACTCTACAGGGAAAGGAGGAGGCTGTCTGCTTCTGGAAAGATTTATAGCCTCAGATGTCTTTCAGGGAGGTCTACTCTGTCCTGGTGGCAGTGCCATCAAGTTGACTATGACTCATAGTGACCCTGTGAACAACAGATCTCAACCCTGCCCTATCCCGCACCATCTGCAGGATCTCTGGTTTGCTCTGAGCCATTACAGTCCTTGTGTCAATCCATTTCCTTTAGGATCTTTCTTGGACTTTCTACCTTTCTCAGTAGGGTGTTAATGACTTGGCATTAACTCTATGACAATGGAGGGAGCTCTGGTGGCCTAGTGGCAAGGACTATGTTGCAATCCTGAAGGCAAGTGGTTCAAGGCCACGAGCTGCTCACAGGAGAAGGATGGGCAATCTCTTCCCATGTGATTAACTGTCTCTGAGAACTCACAGAAGGGTCAGCTATTGGTTGGTTCCCACTTGATGGTACACAACAACAACAACAACAAGAAAATGAGTGGGTTCAGTCTAAGTACTGTACTTCTTCCAAATCTTATTATGTATACTCTTAGGAAAGTGGTCACATGAAGTCACTCATCTTCCTCTGCCAAAGGATGAACATATGACCCAATCTAAACCAAAGATTAGTCTTCAATATGGATTGCATCTTAACATCAACAAGACAAAGGTCCTTACCACTGGGCAAGTGGACAACATGATAGATA